GCAATGGAGGCGGGTGGTTCAGAGAACCGGTAGCAAAAATCCCTGCCCCCCCCATGCCCAGCTGAGCCACGCGATCATCAGAGGCTTTTTTTTTATTATTTTTAAAAGCATTTTTTCTACAACCTCTTCGGCAGAAAAAAATGCTTTTAAAAGTAAAAAGAAAACTCAGCTGGGATTGTCAGAGGCTTTTAAAAGCATTTTTTTTACAACCTCTTCGGCCAAAGCAGTTGTAGAAAAAATGGTTTTAAAAGTAAACAAAAAAAAAGTTGGCCACGCCTACCGTCACATTACCCACCCACTCACCAAGCCACGCCCACAGAACCAGTAGTAACAAACTTTAGATTTCACCACTGCAATAAAGTGCATGACAAACTCATTGCTTTGCTTCTGCCAATTAGAACTTGACAAAATGTCACATTCACAATCTTTGGAAAAGTTCAGCTGGGTAATTCAGTGGGACACAGTGGGTTCTTTGCCACCATAATTAGTGCTGTGAACACAAACATTGTCTTTGCCCTCATAAGTACCCTATAGTAAGTGCAATTATATTCACATTGAGACTGTTAACATCTATGTTTCAATTATATTTCCCTACATTTCATTCTTGTATGCTTTTCACTAAACCAAGGAGCCCTGTGAACTCTCACTACTTCTATAACTAAGGTTTTAATAGAGGAGGGATGTTATGTTGATCAGAAAACTCTACAAAGCTTTCAGGAACTGCTACAATTTCATAAGTCTTAGGAAGCATGCTAGATCCTCATTCCTGAAGATGAGAATGGCAATCTGGCTAAATCATAACAGGAAGTAATCCAATCATGACAAAGGAGTAATTTTCCCTCTTTAACTATCACTTCACTTTCCAGAAACTCAAAAGAAAAAAACTAGATCAGTTGCTGCATAGTGTATCTGGCTTCTGATGTATGTTTAATGGCCATGAAGTTAGTCCATTTCCAGGATCACTAGCATGGGCATTGAGATCCACAAGCACCAAAATCCTAAAATTCTAAGGACCATTTTGGAGAGCACCAGTGTAATCCATAAACTGTTAGATTAGCAACAAAGTACTCTGTTTCTCCCTCCCCCAACCCACGACTATACTCCCCCAAATATAGTCGCTGGGGAATTTGATTAATGGAGAAGGAATGTATTCCTTATAAAAGGTAAAGATAAAGGTTCCTCTCGCACATATGTGCTAGTCGTTCCCGACTCTAGGGAGCAGTGTTCATCTCCGTTTCAAAGCCGAAGAGCCAGCACTGTCCGAGGACATCTCCATGGTCATGTGGCCAGCATCACTAAACGCCAAAGGCACATGGAACGCTGTTACCTTCCCACCAAAGGTGGTCCCTATTTTTCTACTTGCATTTTTTACGTGCTTTCGAACTGCTAGATTAGCAGAAACTGGGCCAAGTAACGGGAGCTCACTCCAGTACGTGGCACTAGGGATTCGAACCACTGAACTGCCGACCTTTTGATCGACAAGTTCAGCGTCTTAGCCACTGAGCCACCGCGTCCCCACATATCCCCTATAGATGACTGTAATTCTACCTCACAATTTACCTTGACGTTGTACAACATCTCTAGGCAGGTTTATATGGGTTAAATTCAGGCCACCCGGCTCTCCTATCCTGGTCTCTATAACACAACCCGACCAGCCTGCTGATCCACAAGAAGATCACGGATATAAAATACTTTTATATATTGAACTAATCTGGCATTCAGCAACTGAATTTAGGAGATGTGTAAGCCAACCGGTTTGACTACTGGATTTTGGTAACTGAGACCTAAGAGCAGCCCTAAGGGTGCTATATCTTCTGTGTCTGGGAAGAATGTTATAACCCCCCCCCCTTTTTTTTTTCCTGGCCCACAGGTTGCCCTTCCCTTGGATATTGCAAGAAGACATGAGTCCGAGATAACCAGCAGGTGCACCCTGCTAATGATGGCATCCAAACACACGTTTGTAGATTTGGCTGAGTTCCTAATCCTTTAACAGCAGTCTGATGCGCAATAATTAAACATGTATAATAATTAAACATGTACTGGGATGAAGAAAAAGTGATGGGGAAAAATTTCACTTGCTTCATTTCCTCCCACTCTAGGTGGTGAAGATATATTACCCATCAGGTTACATAATCGAGTTAGGTTGCTTTTGCAGTCCTTGGGAGTGTAGACTTGAGAGGTTTACAAAAGCAGAAGCACTTACATTGGCTGCCTTCCATTATCCAGTATCTGGAAAGACTTTCATTTCAAAACACACAGAACAAGAAGAAGCAGGTCTCTCTATGGAGATCACGTACACAAGATGCTATTTAAGCTGTGAAAAGCCAACACACTATAAGTATTGCCAGCAAGGTCGCATGCAATAAAAGAAACCCTGTCCAAGAGCTGAAGAGACCAACTAATCTCCTCATACAGTATTCTAGAAAGCAGTAAAGCTGGATCCAGGCTGCCATACAGGTTTGAATTCTTTCCTTTAAAGGAGTACAATAGCTTTGAGAAGTGATCCCTCCCTAAGAGGGAGGGAGTGGGGAATCCATCTGCAAAATCAAACCTGAAATGCAACTTTCAGCTAGTTCCAATCTGCTGGGAAGACCTGACACTGTTTTTTCATCCCTTCCCTGCTAGGCTGAAAGTAGCTTAACCTCAATTACATAACTTTGCACGTTCATTCTGAGTACAGAGAGGCAGCAATGAGCTAGAAAACCATGGACAGCTAATGGTGAAATTTCTTGAACTGGCAAGGCAAGACACATACAAATAATACAAGACAAAGACACATACAAGATCAATAGAGCCACCTTCTCCTGGCCAGAACAAAATTATATATTCGCTATTACTGAAAATAACTGCAACAAGTTCTTATAAGCAAAGGTAGCCTAATCCATCCAAACAATAATGTTATGTATAAATATTCTTGTATTTATTTGGCAGGGGTGTTCAGAAGTGACTTGAGCTTTTTAAACTGAATAGGACTGCCTAAAACTGGTTGTTAAAAATTCTAGTTTAATGGTTCTAAGTTGATTTTTTTAAAAAAAACTTATGTGGTTAATGAAACAAATACGTGAATTAGACAAGACTATTAAACAGGGAACTCAGACTGTCACAATTCGCTACTAAGCTATCCAATGGGTGTGGTTAAAAAATGTCAAGGTGATGGGACACAATGTTCCAATCAAACTTCTGGTTGTTGTTGGTTTAATGTGATACACATAAAAAAAGGGACAGGGCTTCACCTTTTTGATTATATCCCTGCTATTGACTCACAAATCTAGGTTTACTATCATGCTAGGCAAGGTAGTATTTCCTACGGCAGCTGAACATTACATGGTTTCTTTAAGGTCATCCAGACTGTTCTGAAGATCTATGTAGGAAAGCTAGCATCTCTCACAGATGGATACCCAGCTTCTGCCAAAAGACCACAGTTCCAACAAAGAACATCTAGTAAGTGGGATTCAAATTTGCACTCATATTTGTCATACTGAATATAGGGTTAGTTCTGGCTCTGGGAATCTCAATGGTCTACTTACCAAGAAAGTTATCTTTTTCTGCCTTAATGAAATCTCTGACAACTGTCTTAGCAAGTGACAGCATATGGCTGCCCTTGCTTGGTTTGGGCTCCCAAGCAGAGTTGGCCTGGTGGCATTTGGATTGGAGGCCTCCAGGGACTACCAGAGTTGTAGATTCAACTGGGAAGTTAAGAAGTCATCCTAGAAGAAAGTGGTGGCAAACCACTTTGTATTGATGCCAAGAAAACTGGATGGATATTTCTATGAAGCTACCAGAAGTCAAAATAAATGAAAGGAGACTTTTACTTAAGCTATGTGATATGGATGTAGTGCAATGGCACTAAGTCGTATTTGTTCTAAACATATCTCATTGAATATGTTTGGTTCATAAGTAAAGATTACAGACCATAATAGCTGTGCTATAACCATAAGTCAAAACTGAACAAGTCAGAATTGCTTTAGTCCAATATGTGAAATTGATATGTTTGTCCACTCTCTAGTGAAATCATTAGCACTAATTTAAAATCAAGGTGCAATTTTGCCAGGAGAACAGGGCAGGTGAAATGTTTATCCTTCCATTGGAGATTTAATTTATAAATATTGACTGCTAGGTTTCATCACTTTGGTTATAAAATCTTTTAATGCAATAAATCATGTACAATTAAAATGTAAATTTCATGCACGTCACTTTATGTTCTGTCTAATCCTATTCCTTAGCTGAAGAAGGACCATGGCATCAATGAGGAATTACAGAATTCTGTTATCTCTTCAACACGAACTGCTTGTGAACCCTGTTACTGAGGCATGAAGAGACGAATTCAGTTCAGGTTTATGCAACTTTAACTGAAGTGGAATTCAATTGTGCTTTTATTCTCCAAGGGCCTTGTGAATATGTTATGTCCTATTCTAACCAATAGAAGTATGTATTTCATCAATAAAAACGAACACTAGTCAACCCTTCTCCAGGGGATTATACATGGTATTCTGCTACAAGCAGAACTCACAAGACACTAAAAACACTCCTCTCAACAAGCTCACTTGAATTTACCACCTTTACCATTTCTACTTTTTTTAACCAGGCAGTAGCCAGACATCGCTTTAGGTTTGTTTGTCTGGTTGACAGCAAGTGAAATTGAAGGCCAGTGAGAAAATTCCTTGTCAATGGCATCTTTTAGCGGGACAACTGGAGAGACAATAAGGAGGAACAATTGGACAAACAGTTGCAATCAGTTGATAAACTATAAGCTATGTAAACCATGTCATTCAAAAGTGACATAAGAAATAGGCTTCATATCATGTCTGTTCTGAATAAAGAGAGAATTTAGGTGCTTATTGTAATACTGGCAAACAAACAAACAAACAAACAAACAAACAAAAATAACCTCATAAATAAAAGATAAAGATGCTTGAACAACCGGGACCCATGTGGCAACAATCCAGGAAAGGGTTACAGATTAACTACAGCCTGAAAGGTGAAATCACATCATTGCTTACTTATAATATCAACCTCAGCATTTGCAAGCGGAGGCAGGTTAGGTGAGGAAAAGGCACTGAAACTCCCTGCATCCATCTTAGTCACCCGGTTTCCCCTGTACAGTTTATTATCAAAGTACAGGCACACCTACAAGGATGAGAAAAGAAGCATGTCAGTGTGCAAACCTTGTAATTAAAAGATCCAGCAGATTAAAACATACACACACATAAAGTTGACTTTTCTTTCTATACAATGAAAGCTACTTTAGAGAGAGTTATAAATATAATTAGGGTTATGTAGGAGGGTTTTATCTCTGGGCTGCTTTGAAAAGTGCTGTGTCTCTTTTGGATTTTGACAACAAAATACAGGTAAACTCCTTGTGAGATTTCCTTCCAAGAACAGGTTTGGCAGCTCTCAAGGTTTGTGATGGATCTCTGAAGTTAAAGATATTTTTAAAGGGGATAGAATGGGCTTTTAATAATGTGCAAAATCCCTCCAGAAGTGTTGATGTTTCTGACAGAGCAGACAAAATTGAGTTATTTAGAAAGGTAAGTAGAAAGTGAGCCTACCTAGATATCAATCAGGTTTCTGGGTTTTCCTTTGTGCAGATTGTCACAGCCTATTGGTAGTTAGGGCACCACAGATTAATCCCAATGAAAATTCAGAGTGGGAAACCTTTTACTAAGTAAAAGATCACTCTAGACCAGGGCCAATGTTGAGTAATACTAAAAGCTGTATACTAGACACATGTGGAAGGTCATAGATTCAGCACATTTGAAATAATCTATGCATCTTCCTATCATATTTTATTCAAATAATTGGTAAATTTCAAGCCTGATGAAGTTGATTTTTGACATTTATGTTTTTGATGACTCTATATTAAGCAATGACACTGACATAGAAGGAGTACTCCTACTTATAGTAGTAGTAACTTTTGTTTATTTTAAAAGACTAATTGCGAGACTAGGCAGTATCTATACAACCATTAAAATGATTAGGAAATCCAATATTCTTATGTGTACTGCAGGAAACTACTATTTGTAATATTAGAACTCATCGACTCTAACATTCAAGCAGAATCTGCTATCCTGTAATTTCTCTAAGTGTTTCTTGTCCACTGCCAAGACCTGGACAACAGAAGTAGGAATCTCACCAATGAAAAACATAAGTATTATTTCCCATTAGAATTGTCAAGGAAGATACTGAAGTGACGGTTAGTTTTTGCCTTTTAGGATCGGCTACCAACAGTAACAGAATCAGCAGTTGAAACACTCTGCAGACCAGCACTTGGTACAGTAGCAATGAAGGTCTTGGAAAATATATCCTGAGGTTGGTACCTATAAAAAATTTTCCTGTGACATTCTATAAAAGTGAAATAACAAATATTGATGCTTTTGAACTTTGTTGTTGGAGATTTCTAAGACATCATTTATAGCTAAGAAATTGAACAAATGGATCACTGAACAAATCAACCCAGAGTTCTCACACAAGGCACAAAAGATCAGGCTTAGATTATCATACTATGAACATATTATGTAAGGGCTAAGTTTCAAGAGAAGCTCTATTGCTGGGAAAGATGATAGAGAAGTGGATGACAAATAGAAAAGGTGGATGGACTCAATTACAGCACTTTACAGCACTGCTAGAAGACGTGAAGGGTCAGGTTGGGGACAGAGCATCATGGATAAAATCTATGTATGCGGTCATTAAGACCAATTTGATGGCACATAATCAATTGCTTCTCATCATTTGAAAAGTCCAGCTCTATTGAGGAAGCCTAAAAGTGACTTTCTCTTTTTTAGCAGCCATATAGAATGGGTGGCGTGGTGTCTCAGCGGTTAAGAAGCTGAGCTCGTTGGTTGGAAAGCCAACAGTCCAGGTTCAAGACCTGAGTGCCATGTGATGGGATGAGCTCCCGTTCTCACTTCAGCTCTTGCCAACCCAGAAATTTGAAAGCAGGCAAAATGTGAGTAGATGAATAGGTACCACTTTGGTGGGAAAGTAACAGCGCTCCGTGATGTCATGCTGGCCACATGACCGCAGAAATGTCTTCAGACAGTGCTAGCTCAATGGCCTTGAAATGGAGATGAGCACTGCCTCCTAGAGTCAGCAACAATTAGCAGAGTAAAATCTGCAGGGACTCCTTTTTTTATATAGAATCATAGGGCTGGAACGGACCTTGGAGATCTTCTAAAATCTAATCCAATCCCCTGCCCAAGGCAGGAGTCCTTATTCTACCCTGGACAAATAATTGTCCAATCTTTTCCTAGAAACCACCAGCAATGGATTGCCCACAAATCTGCAAGACAAACTGTTTCACTGACTAATTGTTCTCACTGTCAGGAAATTTCTCCTTAGTTCCAGGTTGGATCTTCCTCTGACTAGCTTCTACCCATTGCTTCTTGTTCTGTTCTCAGGTGCTTTGGAGAACAAGTCAACTCCCTCTTCCCTATCACCGGTTTGGTGATCATGCGCTTCACATGCGTGCATGCACCAGACACACACACACATACCAGATGCACGCTGCATTCATGTGCTCAATTAAACAGAAAATCACCTTCCGCGTTAGTGCTAGGGAATTAAAACAGCTGAGGTGCGGCAATCCGCTCTGCCATGCTAATCAGCTGCGAAAATAAAGGTAAGTAAAGTGTAGGAGTGGTGGGCGGGCCCAGCTGATCATCGGAGCGAACCAGTTCGTTCCCAGATGATCGTTGGAGCTACCAGTTCGCCCAAACCAGTAGAGTCCCATCCCTGCCCTTAATCATTCTTCATATGGTTTAGCCTCCAAACCTCTTATCACCTTTGTTGCTCTTCTCTGCACTCACTCTCTCTCTCTCTCTAGAACCTCGGCATCTTTTTTATATTGTGGTAAGCAGAACTGGATGCAGTATACCAGGTGTGCCCTTACTAATGAAATATAGACTGGTACTATTAATTCCTGTATGATGCCATCCCTGTGTTGATGCAGCCTAAGACTGCATTGGCTTTTTTGGCAGCTACATTGTACTGCTGGCTCATACTTAAGCAGTGATCCACCACACACCTGAATTCCTCTCATTGGTACTACTGTTGAGCCAGGTACTGCCTGTTCTGTACTTGTGTATTTGGTTTTCCCTTCTATATAGTAGTATTGAATCAACAGTGGATCAAGTCTTTTACATTGATATATTCATCTTTTTTTAAAAAAAATAATAAAGTTCCCTCTAATTGGTCTTTTGTTGCTGTTTGCATGATTTGATATTATTTTTATAAATCAAAATATTTCTGAAACAACCTCCCGACCACCCCAGTCATGATCTACAATGCAGCCCTTTCAGGGAACAAAGACTCTAAAAGCAAAATAAAATAAAATAAAAATGAGCAGACCTCAGGAATTACAAACTGTCCCGCAATCAACAGCGCCCCCAACAGGTTGGCTCTGCCATCATTCCTCAGTTCATATATTGGTATCTAGAAAAGAGAGAAATTGCCGTTCAAAAACTCATATACACTCAGCAGCAAGCGAGAGCAACTCCAGTCGACATAATACAAAGCGAGTGTAAAGCCATGCATAATTTATGAAACATTCTCTTAACGTATGATTTATTGGAACATGGATGCATTTCTTCATCTCAACTATGGCAGATGGTGGAATTTCTCGTTTGGAATGTAAAATATTTTCTCCCACACCTCATGAAATTATCCTTGAATTTTTAACCATACTCTTTTTGTTGGGGTGGGAGAGGGAATAATTCAAAGTGGAAGTGGGGTCCCTACAATCCTTCTCAACATCTAGCCTATTTCTTTGCATTTTATTTGTAAGCTTTAGCTAATGCAAAAGTCAAATTCCCACCAGGGGTTCGTGACAATCAGGAACAGTCTTATGGCAAGCAATCAAATAGCAAATGGTCTATAAAAGTAAGATATTTTACTGGATCCCCTTTTAATTGTCCTTTCTTCACAATAACCACCATATAGAACTAAGATGATTTTCAGTCAGTGGTGGTAATTTTTTACTACTGATTCTGTGGGCGTGGCTTGGTGGGCGTGGCAGGGGAAGGATACTGTAAAATCTCCATTCCCTCCCCACTCCAGGGGAAGGTTACTGCAAAATCCCCATTTCTTCCCAATCAGCTGGGACTCGGGAGGCAGAGAATAGATGGGGACGGAGCCAGTCAGAGGTGGTATTTACTGGTTCTCCGAACTACTCAATTTTTCCGCTACTGGTTCTCCAGAACTGGTCAGAACCTGCTGAATACCACCTCTGTTTTCGGTGGTGGTAAAATAGAAGGGATTCATTACTTCTTTCCAAAACATTGTTCCCTGATAGAAATCATCCCTTTCAAACTGTTGCAAGCCCCAGCAACAATAATGCCAAGTGTAAGGAGAAACAATTTGAATCAGGAAAAGGGAGAAGATTAAAAAAACAAAACAACAAACTTTAAGCAGTACCAATATCTCAATCAAACTAGCTGTCTTTCAGGATATCTCGTATTTAAAAAAGAACACCATACAAGGTCATGAATTGTCTCATTTCTCATTCACTGTATCCCATGTGCAAGTAGGGGGTGAAAAAACTGTAATGAGTAAGAATTTAAAAAAATGTATCTTCTATCAGTGGTGGTTTGCTACTAGTTTGCTCCATTTCGGGCGAACTGGTAGCGGCAGCAGCGGGAGGCCCCACCCACCCACCTGGACGTCTCTGTGCATGCTCAGAAGCTTCTACACATGCGCAGAAGTGCCGTGTGCGGGTGTTGTGGCACGCCAGCGGCCTGTGCAGATTGTGGCTGATCCCGACGACGAGGAGGCTGGTGTGGTGTCGCGCCAGCAGCCTGTGCAGCCGGCGCTCGAGTCGGACAGCGAGGAGGCTGAAGAGGATGTGGTGCCAGAGGCAGAGACTCAGCCAGGGCCTTCAGAACATCCAGTGGCTTCTTCAAGTGAAGAGAGTGAAGTGGAGGTGCCTATTCTCAATGCTCAAGCATGCAGGGCTGCCAAAAGGCAGGAGTGGCTACTCAGGAGGTCTCCTCGAGAGTAAGGCTTAGGGTTAATTGGCCACTCTCTTAGCCTATTTAAGTTCGCACACAGATAGCAAACATTGCTGGAAACAACGTTTGGTCCTACGCAGAGCATTTTGAGAGTGAGTTTTTTGTTACAACTTGGTTTCTGGGCTGATTGCCAACCCTTGTCGGACTTTGTTTAATCTCTGTAATTCGTAGCAGGCTGATAAGGACATTTGTGGTTAAAGCCTGCATTTTGAAAGGAGTCTGTTTGTATTAAATGGAGTTTTTGGAGCTGTGTGGGTGTGCTACACTTCTTGGGACCCGTAGCTGGGGCAGAACAGTGAGCGCAAGCACGCATGCACCCACGAGCAAACCGGTAGCGACGGGATTTGAATCCCACTACTGTCTTCTATGGTCAAAACTTATTTTTCAACATAAATGTATTGCTTAACTGAAAATTTCTTACCTGAGATCCTGTCAAGATTACGGTTTTGCCCAGGTTCTCACACATGAAGGACAATGCTGAAGATGTATAAGCCATTGTGTCTGTGCCATGGAGTATCACAAATCCGTCATACTTCTCATAGTTTGCCTGCCAATTTTTTAAAAAAATTTATTGTGGTGAGAGAAACAGTCAAAGAGACAAAGTAATTTAAATAATACAAACTTTTTGAGAATTGTGGGGAATAAAATGGTATTTAAGGGTCAAGTTGAGGGTAGACAGATTTCACGGTTGTTGCATTTATATCAATACAATCAACACCAACCAAGCACAAAAGTTATTAATTTAGAATTAAATAGCAGAGGGCAAGGTAAACTAAAACCAATATAATTTAGTTTGCTTTCAGTACCACAACAAAATGAAACAGAGTTCTCATTTATAGTAGAGGTGTTCTTTCAGTGCAGATGATATTAGAATTTGTCTGATCTCTAACAAGTAGGTAGAGAGGAAAAATTGTCTATCCAAAGGATAACCTTTTAAAAGGTTATCATGACCAAACATTCCAAGATGGCGTACACTAAATGAGTTGTATGTGTTGCCCGAGACTAAAGGAGTCAGCATCAGTTAGAGGATATTCAAGATGGAGGAATGACTGAATGATGTGGAGACTTATGATCTGTTCTCTATCAGGCAGGTCTGCCTGCCCATATAGAATAAAGACTTTTTCCCCCATCCTCACAGAAATAGATGCTAAAACATAAACTGGAAAATAAAAACAAAGGAAGGACTTGAAAAATCCCAATAGGGGACAGCCCTTAGTGTATATCTGACCAATACAAGAAATACAATCAATAACCTCTTATTTATTTGAGTATGCCTGTCTAGCTTCTAAGAAAAAAGCATAATTAATTCTTAAAGAATACAGACAACATAAAATCTAGTGAGATGTTTTTTTCAGTCACTAATTATGACAACATTCAAAGACTTGTTCTTCGGTGTATAAATATTAATGATCTGTCCTTAACCAGAGGAAGACTGCTAATTAAGAAAAGCTTAGCAGTAGCTTTAAAACAGGAATGTTAACATATGTAAATGAATCATATGGTCTGATTCCTTGTTCTTGCTTTTACTTTGGGGATTATACCATTTATGGGAGCAGACTAAGCAAACCGGAGCTATTGTAATAGTAGATATGGAAGAAATGCCATCCTTAACAGACGCTAAATGCTAATGGAAGACTGCCCTCATCTGTTCAAAAGACAGTACAGAAAATACACAGGCACGCACATACACACAGAGTTTTCTTTAAATAAAATTAGAAATTTACATAGTCAAAGAATGAATAGACACTTTTTCTATTAGTTCCAGAAATATAGATGCAATTGAAAGTGCTTTATCTCCCAGATGCTTAATGATAAATTCTAAGATATCATATGCCAAACTTAAAATAATATAATTAGTGGTACCCAGAATCAACTCATTGATTTTTCTGGTCCAGGACTAATTGTCTGACAGGCAATAGGTTTCTAAGATTTCAAGCAAGCCCTTCTCATCACCTGACTTCTTTTAAATTGGAGATGCCATGTTTATTGCCATTGTACTACGACATCTGACCTCCCATAATGTGGAAGACAACATTATTTATATCTAATTTTTTTCCCCTGAGGTAGAATTGGCAACAATTCTTTGTTCTCATGCCTGAAATAATTACAGTTTTCAATGGAGCAAAGGAAAGTAGATCAAAAGTAGATTAAATTGTAGGAAGCTTTCAAATTAGGATTTCTGGCTTACAATGGCAAATATATTTGGAAATATTAATTTGTTATTTATTTATTCTTTTATCTGTCCAACAACAAAGTTCTCTGGACAGATAACAAAATCATGCAGTCAAAACCAGTGGTGAAATTCAAATTTTTTTACTACCAGTTCTGTGGGCATGGCTTGATGGGCATGGTGTGGCTTGATGGGCGTGGCTTGGTGGGCGTGGCAGGGGAAGGTTACGGCAAAATCTCCATTTTCACCCCACTCCAGAGGAAGAATACTGCAAAATCCCCATTCCCTCCCCATTCCTGGGGGAAGGATATTGCAAAATCTCCATTCCCAACCCACTCTGGGGCCAGCCAGATTTGGTATTTGGTTCTCTAAACTACTCAAAATTTCCGCTACTGGTTCACCGAACTACTCAAAATTTCCGCTACCGGTTCTCCAGAACCTGTCAGATACTGCTGGATTTCACCCCTGGTGAAAACAGTCAGAAACATTAATATAGCAAGATGGATTAAAAAATTTAAAAAAAATAAATATCTTCAATATCTAGCCTGGCATTAATTGCTTAATTTTCTTAGTTGTCCTCTATTGTAAAATATAAGTATTAAATGGTATCCTTCAAGTATGCTTTTGTACAGGTTTAAGAACTAATTTATTTAATTCAGTAATTGGAATCACACATCCCAATTAGCCATTAGTTTACTTATATTGGGCTTCCTGAATAAACCACCATTGATTGCATTCATACAGTACCCAGCCTAAAGCAAACAACCCACATGATGGTTTAGCATAATGTGTGAACTCACCAGTCTGTAAACATTATAATGCAATAACTGCTGAGCTGTCCTCTTGGGTATAATTCTACCTCCAGGAGTAACTATTTTACATTTAGCTCCCATTGGAGTTTACTTACACCACTGTGCACTGTGAAAGAATCAGACTTAAGCATCCTTTAAGGAACCCATCCAAAATGTAACTCACTAGTTCAAGCATGATTTTAAATTAGAAAAGAACAAGCTGGGGCGGGAAGGAGGGAAGGAGGGAGGGAGGGAGGGAGGGAGGGAGGGAGGGAAGGAAGGAAGGAAGGAAGGAAGGAAGGAAGGAAGGAAGGAAGGAAGGAAGGACTTTAACATGTTTAGTTCTGGATGGTGTTGCATTACTCTAAATAGACCTCAGTCCAGTGGTGGGTTCCTCCTGGTTCGGCCCGGTTCTCCCGAGCCGGTAGCAGTGACGATATGACATCGCCGAACCGGTTCTGCCTCCCCCGCCCCCCTGCCTTTGCAGAAACGGGGTGGGCAGTTTGTACGGAGGATTGATTGGGGGGGATTCACGGCCCTCCAGGATGAAGAGCAAGGCAAGAGAAGGCTCCGAGGTTCGCCTGGGCAGTCAAGCCAGAGGGAAACTCAAACCGTTGGGGGCTTCAGAAAGGCAGAATGTGCTTTTGTGCAGCTCCTGGCTTCTGTGACATTCTGTGAAAGACAGAATGTGCTTCTGTGTCAGAATGTGGAGCTCCTGGCTCTAACAGTGAGTGATGTGAGTGACGTCAAACTGGCCATGCCCACCCAGTCACACGCCCACCCAGTCACACGCCCACCAAGCCACGCCCACCAAGCCACGCCCACAGAACCTGTAGCAAAAGAATTTAGATTTCACCCCTGATCTAGACTATTGAGATTTGTGACATTGCACAACATTTCAAGTGTGGGTAGTTGAGAAAAAAAGTCATGTAATCAATCTGCCATAGGGAAGGGCCACTCTTGCAAAGGGAACATCGTGGTGCCCCAGAAGAGAAGAGTATCAGGACTTGGGATGCAGAAACTCAGGATCCCACATGCTGGACTTCTCGGGAATGTCCTCAAATACAATAGTAAATAAATAAAGAGATAATTATGAAGTCCAATATTTAAAATAGCCTTACTGATGCTTTTGAACTCTGATGTTGGAGAAGACTCCTAAGAACAACGGGGGCAGCCAAGAAAACAAACCAATGGATCATTGAACAAATCAACCTGAAGTTCTCACTTGAGGCACAAATGACCAGGTTGAAATTAACCTTCAGATATCTCATACAAAGGTCTGGCTCTCTAGAGAAGGCTGTTGTGCTGGGAAAAGGTGGAAGGAAAGGGAAGAAGAAGACAACCAGCCAAAAGGTGGATAGTCTCAGCTACTAGGCAATAAGTGTACTATTGGAAGATCCAAAAACCAGGTTAGGAACGGACTGTTATGGAGGAAATCTATCCATGTGGTCACTAAGAATTGATAGCAACTTGACAATACTTAATCAATGCATCAAAAGTGCACTACTGCATAGCAGATCTTTGATTTCCACTAACAAATGAAAATGATTTTTTTCTAAACCACTAATACATTAGCCTCTAGAAGCTCGAACATATACCAAAGAACGGAAATATCAGTACAAATACACCTTATACAATTTATACACCTTATACAATTTATATAGTTTATACACTTTAGATAGAACCGGCTGGGAATTCTGGGAGCGACAATCCAAACAAAGCAGTTATCAGTCCTTAGAACCTTTTCCCCCCAAACCTGCTACTTTTAACTCCACTGAACAGAAACTTCAGTGATTAAATACTTCTGTGTCCAGAGAACATGTTCTTTATCCAGAAAGTTATGGGATATGACACTCATCATTCCACTGAATTCTATTTTTAAAATTTCATTGTGTTTCGATAATGCCAGATTGCTCTGTAAATTGCTTATTCTTCTGCAAATTTTCACTGGCATGCCATCTGTAAATCTTGCAGAGTAAAAAGCAGCAATATACTACCATCTTGTGGTCATATTAATTTTAGCAGAAAGGTTTTAAAAACCTGTTTTAAGTGACTCATAGTATTATAGAATTATAGAACTGGAAGTCACTTAACGTTACATCAGCTTTCATTCTACTCATTCCTTTTCCTAGAACAGTGCTCCTTAAAGTGTGATCTTGGAGATAATATAAGATCCTTTCAGGGGTCCATGAAATCACCATTATTTGCCAAATATTGCAGCTACAGATAGTCCTCGGTTTACAACAGTTCATTTAGCGATTGTTCAGTCACAATGGCAATGAAAAAGTGACTTAGCCAGTGGTGGGTTGCTCCCAGTTTGGTCTGGTTCTTGTGAACCAGTAGTAAAAGCTGTGAGAGGCTCCGCCCACCACCCAGACGTCATCATGGACAATCTGCGCATGCGCTGTGAACCGGTAGTAAAAATATGTAGAACCCATCCCTGTTTTTCACATTTATGACTATTGCAGCATCCCCATGGTCACATGATCAAAATTCAGATGCTTAGCAACTGACTCATATTTAGGAAGATTGCAGTGTTATGGGATCATGTGATCAGCAACCTTCTGACCAACAATGGGGAATGCAGATTCACTTAACAATCATGTTACTAACTTAACAAATGCAATGATTCACTTGACAACTGTGACAAAAAATTCATGAAATGGGGCAAACGCACTTAGCAACATAGATTTTGGGTTCAATTGTGGCCATAACTCAAAGACTACCTGTATTTAACTCAATGTTATTTTTTATCATTATTTTTATCAGTTAAAATTATAGTTTTTTCATAAAAACATTTTATTTATATCAATATCTAATGGATTTAATATAGTTATTTTACATGATTCAATTCTACAAATGCATCCATTTTCATTTTTAATTTGATTATATAACCCATACAAACCAAAGCTTTTTTGCGGTTAGTCCTCTATAATATTTAGAAGTAAGAAGCGGTCTGAGAACAAAATATTTAAGAAACAGTCCTAGAGCAATCTTGGAAGCAGGATCTTAGTTTTTAGAAGAACATTTGTGTATAAAAAAGAATTGTTTAAGGGATGCTGGGCCATAACTATTGTTGTTCCAATGTCGTTCTCGGGAGTTTGCGCCAACTCATTCCTCACAAAAGAAATCAGTAATAATGGAAATAGGGAAAATGGAAGATGGCATATAATAGTATGAGTTTAATAGGCAGCCATGTGAATCACACAACTTGTCAATTAAGAGAATTGGTTGGCTTTGACTATGTAATCATCTCAGTTAAAAATAAATTAAGGATTTGAAAGAACTGAAGTTTTGGTGCTATATTAGGCAATTGATCAGAAATAATATCTGAGTTATTGATCATAGGGTGATTATGTATCTGTGACTAATAACAAATTATTTATTTTTAAAAGTTACCTCAAGGCACCTGGCAATTTTGTCCCATTCAGATGGTGTCATATTTGAAGAATCTAGTAGAGGAGAAAGTTCCAGGATGGTGTAGATAATTCTTTTATCCTGGTTGGAAGATCTGTCATAAAAAGAACATCTTCTGAAATAAACTGTTTTAACAATATTGTTTTTCAGATCACTCTGGACAAAAGTATCAAGTTATAGTTGATGAGAAAATCTACAAACAGAATGGCTTTCATGCAAGATATTCCTGGCAACTTGTGAATGGTTGACCTGATACAGATGCAAGCAAGCTTCAACACCCACCGTCATTCTGAAGTTGGGCAGCACGTAAACTGAATAAATAAATTGAATTAAACCCCTATACCCCTCTTTGCCTGTCACTGTGCAAATTCATTTTCCCTCACTCTCAGCCTCCTGAGGCGCCACTGTTCCATATTGTTCTATCGTTTAATTCTCTGCACTCATCCTCAACTTCAAGTTTTACCAATTCCACAAAATATAAAACTCCAAATCTTCTTTTGCACTAAGTACACAAAAGCACCATCTTTTTTTTTAAACTGTACTAAAGTAGTGAGGTTTTCCTTTAAAAATCAGCATTAATTTAAACAAATTCAATCATTTTCCATCTATTTGATAGTTATCTATTCTATAACTGTCTGGTTTGGTATAGAAACCAAACAGGACAGATACAGACTCCAATGGATATTAAGATTGCAGAAAGAACAATTGCAACTAACCTGCCTTCCATAGAAGACCTCTACATTGTGCAGGTTAGAAGGATGGCTGAGAAAATATCTACCGACCCCTCACATCCTGGTCATTAACTGTTTCAACACCTTCCCTCAGGGCGACGCTATAAGTAAGGCATTGTATGGCAAAACAACTAGGCACAGGGACAATTTTTCCCCTCATGCCTTCATTCTACTGAACACATAATTCTCTGTGCTGCTTAATGTCTATTAATCCATGTAGTGTGGCTGTGGTATTATTTATTCTTATTATTATCTTCTTTACTCCCTCTTTTACTGATAATATTATTATTATTCTTTTGCTTTGCATGTACACTGAGTACTTCTGTATGGAGACAAACTCCTTGGGTATCTAATCACACTTAGTCAAATAAAGTATTCAATTTAATTTAATTTTAATTAATTTAGATAATTGGCCAGGTATTTGCAATTGGGCAGTTCCAATCCCAATATATCAGGAGAGAGTCTCAGGTTGGAAAGGGTTATTCTAGACACAATCTTAAATATTTTTTTAAAAAATATCCAGGATGCTTCACAGGAAATTCAAAAACTCATTAAACAAAAACATTCCAGTATTCCAAATACATACGGAAGTACCAAAGTGTCAACTCCAAGGCGGTTATATAGTTGGGTTTCCTTGGCATATGTTGCATCATGGAGTATGGTCATCTTCTTCAGAGCTTCTGCAAGCTTGTTAGCTTCAGGGACAAGACCTGAGAAATAAAATAAATCATGAATTAAACAATTTTCTCTGAATGTTTATCTGAACTTTGAGACTGAGATGCAGGTCGGTAGTAGAAACATGATTTGCAAGAAGACAATTCCAGGTTCATTCCTTGCATCTCCAGTTAAAGCTAGACATATTCTTGCCTAAAACCCTGAATAGTCATTTCAATGATTGTGAAAATAACAAGCACAAATGGATCAATAGCAAAAGTGTGCTATGCTGTTCCACTAGAACCAAAAAGAAAATTCATATAAACTGGTATCTGAAATCATAAAACATTGCCCATGCATTTTGCTTATCTAAAACTGAAAAGAGGCAAGATGTGAAATAAAACAAGGAAGGCTATCATCTGCAACAGATTTTACACAATCACAATATTGCTTAGTGCAATGTGTGAATGCTGTTCCTGTACTTTTGGTCCCTCCCAACTGAATCAACAACAAAGGGTCAGGCTTATACTTAAATTACTTCAGAAGAATCCTGAAATCTTTAGAATCAGCCCATTTCATTATAAAATTAAGCATTCAGCTTAATCTATAGCCCAGTATTGACAGTATGGCCCAGATTAATATGATTTATGATAATAACTGAGCTTGGCAATTACGGTCGTAAATCATGATAGTTGTAAAACGGGTCACCACATGACCAGACCCGTATTTGTGATCTCTTTTTTTTTTGCGGTAATACCACAGTCATTAAGTAAATATCATGGTTGGTGAGGGAACCATTGTTCACTACGGATCGGTTTTTACTAGAAGTAAAACTGGAAGTAAACATTGGTTTCTGGCAGAAACACTATAAATCGTGGCTACATAAATCGGGCTGCTAAAATGGCTTAAAACATGAGCTGGTTGCAGTCATGTGATCATGGGGGGGATTTCAAAAGTGTGTCATAAGTCCCTTTTGAGGGGGTCAGTGATAAATCAAGGACTACCTGTATTGCTCTTAAATAGTTTTAATTTGCCATGTGATCAGAAAAAGAAACTAGGTCTTCCAGTTCCTAAAAAATTTGCACTGTTTAAATGAAACAAAATATTGCCTATTATACAGTACAAATCCTGTTTCAAAAATTCGGTTTTCAGGTATGCAAGTATTTATCAAGAATAAACATTTTTCCATGTTAGCCCTGCCCATGGAGGCAATGCCCTTTACGTGAAGGGTTTGCCTTGTTCAGGAACATCTTACTCACTTGGAATAACGCTCTTTTTCACTATTACTCAGGAAGCTGGTGCAATAGGCTAACCGAATTGCACTGTTACAATAAACTAGCCAAATTACAGAGCTACTTCAAAACATCCAGACCTAAGCCTCCAAATTTTCTTCCTTGTGTCTACAAGAAGAAGAAAAAAATCTAAACATCAATTAAGGCTTCTTAATTGTTATCATTTTATTTGGATGTATTTGAACACTTGAGCCAAAGAATCCTTCTGCAAGCTGCCCTGTATTACCAAAAAGTCAGGAGAGAAAATGAAAGTTGGATCAAGAAGAAAATTGTGTATTAATAATTGACCCACACCCCTAGGCAAAAGCACATAAACACCCAAAGTTATTTATGGAGGGTGAAGTAATGTGAATGTATATCAAAGGTTCGTGTTGAAAAGTGACTTATTTTGGTGTGATTTACTTCCAACTAGTATGGAACAATCCTATACATAACAAGTCAGGGAAAAGAAGCAAGGAATGGTCTCTGGCATTCTTATCGATCTTTTTACCAAGTTTTGCACTTATGTCTATGTATGCAAGGTGTTAAGCAGGCTGCATTCCCTCAGCTCTGGATCATGCATTTGAGAAGGATGGAGAAGGAGTGGAAATTTCCAACCCCTGGATCATGTAATCCTAAAGAAAGCAGTAGCAGGCTTAGAGTAGAAGTGTTAGCAGCATTCTGAGCCAGTATACAAGTGCTTCTCCCATAGGGATACCTTGGAGAATATTTTGGGAAAAGATCCATTGCCTCAATCTGGACCCAGCCCATTTGCAGACCTGGTCCTTCTTTTGTTGCTTTGTCTCATTAAATCAAACTTTATTATTGTTTTTTAAAGAGCTATCTTGCTGACAGATGGTGGAGTCCCAGTCTCCTTTACATTACAGTATTCTGTTCCAACAACGAATTAGAATAGAATAGAATAGAATAGAATAGAATAGAATAGAATAGAATAGAATAGAATTCTTTATTGGCCAAGTGTGATTGGACACACAAGGAATTTGTTTTTGGTGCATATGCTTTCATTGTACATAAAAAGGACAAGATACATTGGTCAAAGTTAAAAAATAATAAAAAAAATCTCCTTCAAATCATGTTCAACTCCTGGTGGCTTCACAGACATCCCCTTTCCACAATCCTAATCACACTTAGCCCCCCTCCCTCCCCAATTCACTCAATGAGCTCATGAGACCAACGATCATATGAAATCAGAGCTGAAGAACCTTCTTGGATGAGAAGCGAAAGGTCTTCAAAGAAAAATCAGAAAGTCCAGCTGCCTCTTGAAAAAGCACCTTTGGGACAACCATGACCTGGATGACGGAGAATCTCCATAAACATCAAGCTGTACTCTGGCCCATCTGAAGAGCACCAGATGGGAGGGACCCCCGTTGTATGGGGTGGCCTCAATCCGGCTCGATTTCAATAAACGCTTTTATCCACGAGGGGGTGAAAGCGTCCCACGATGCCGAGAGGCGCGTGCAAGGGAAGCCTCACCAAGCACCCTTCTTACTCACTCACCCTCTGACTGGGGCACCATCCCGATGGTCCCCCCGGTGTTGATCACCAGCACCCACACTTCGGCCATGGGTCTGCATCCGATGTCAAGGGCCGGACCGGGCTCGGTGTACGAGAGAGCCCTGCCCAGCTCGCCCTTCTCCTCTTCTGTCATGATGGCTCCCCGGTAGGAAAGAGGAAGGGCCGGCGATACGGATACCCCACTCGGGCAAGCTGGGCATCCTAATACCGGCTCTTAGCGCCGCCCCTTTCCGGGCTCGCCGTCTCCCATTGGCCAGACAGGCCTCGTCCTCCCTCCCTCCCTCCCCAGTAGGGGGCGGGGGGGGCGGGCAAGGGGAGAACGGGACGACCCTCTCCAGCTTCCTCCCGTTGAGCCACTTTGTTGCGCGGAGGTGACCAGAGAGGGCATGTATGATTCAGCTCCTGACCTGGGGAGGTTTCGTTGCCCTCCGCCGGTTCTACCTCCCTCCCTCCCTCCCTCCTGGCGCACTACGACCCTGAACTTTTCTCTAAGGGAGGAAAACAAAGTGCTCCCCCCACACCCAATTTTCAATTTTTTTTAATTGAAAACCGGCGCTGAGAAATAAGCCAGGGCGACAGAAAACTGGTTGAAGAAGAGACAGGACAGTCATTTGTCTGAAATAGTATAAATCAGGATCTCCTGCTTGGTTAGACTAGAAGACCTCTAAGGCCCCTTCCAGCTCTATTCTGATTCTCTCTTTAAAACTTTCCTGAGCTGCCTCAAAGACAAGCCCCCACTTGTTTTTTTGGGTCGATGTTTCAATTATTAACGTTTTCGAAATCAAAATACAGGGTGAAGAAGTTCAAAGCAAAAGCGTCGGGGGGGGGGGTAAGTATCTTGCTGGGTCAAACCAAGAGTTCAACATTTCTGTTTCGACAACGACCACGTGCCCCCAAGCCGCCTCTTTTCTGAAGGGGCTCCTGTGAAAGCCTTCGCGCTCGGCTGTTTGTGCTCTTATGTTGATGAACGGCCTCCAAAAATTCAGTGAGCTTTTATGGTACCTTCTTAAATGACTTTAAGACTTGAATGACTGAAACGTTTGATCTTCTAATAACGGGAAAAGTAATTTTCCAATTACCACAGCATGTTGAAATTCAGTCAAATGCATCGCCTTGCCTGTTCTCAAAATTAAAAATGCATTTGGTGCTCTAAGGGGCTCTGGGATTTCATGTTGTTTTTTAAACAACAAGAGCCTTGATAGTACAGGAGTTTAAGGCACCCTGTTATTAAGCTGGTTATTAAGACCAGCTGCCTGCAATTACTGCAGGGTTCGAATCTCACCAGGCTCAAGGTTGACTCAGCCTTCCATCCTTTCTAAGGTAGGTAAATTGAGGACCCAGTTGTGGGGGCAATAAGCTGACTTTGTATAAATATACAAAAGGATGAAGGCTATTGCTGAGCACATTGTAAGCCGCCCTGAGTCTTCGGAGAAGGGCGGCATATAAATCAAATTTTTAAAAAAATTAAAAAAAAATAATAAAAAAAAAACATAGAAAGGCCTAGTACTCTATATGTTCCAATAACACTCAAAACATATATCATCATTTTGTGTTGTTTTTTTTTAAAGCTCTCCCTCTGCTGTGGGGTGTTGTTTTATTTTCCATAATAGAGCCATCTCTTGACCTACCGTTCCTTCCTTTGTAATAACTGTACAGAATAACCACAGTTTGCACACCTTTTGTCCTTTTCTTTTTTTACTTCCTTCCATATATTTTGCAGGGAACAATTTAAGATGTTTTGGTGCCTGAGGTGGGATGTATGTACTCAAGCTAAGTAATTATATAATGGATTTATAGGGCTGCCAAACTCAAAAGAAAGTGGTTCTGGACAGCATGTGAGCAAATGGACGACGAGTCATTTCTTCAGATTTCTCTAGGGTAGGAAAAATTCTCCTACGGCTATTTAACGTTCACATTTATCAGTATTAATAGTGAACTTGCCATGTTTGTTTGAAAGAGGGCTTTTACTTTGCTTTCATTTTTGTTTTCATTTGCCACAATTGCTATTGCCTGCAATAACAACTGTGTTGGAGCCTTTGCTCCCTAGTGGCTTGGATCATTTTTCTGGAATATTATAGAATCAGAACTGGAAGGGACCTTAGAGATCTTTTAGTTCAACCCCCTTGCTTAAGACAGGAATCGTCCTTATTGGGAATTTTCATTGGATAAATGAAAACCACTAGCGATGAAGCACCCACAACTCCAGGACACAAACTGTTCCATTGACTAATTGTTCTATCAAGAAGTTTCTCCTTAGTTCAAAGCTGGATCTCTGACTAGCTTCCACTGATTGCTTCTTGTCCTGCTCTCAGGTGCTTATGAAGAGGCAGAACAGTTCCAGTTGCCTAAAACAATGTAATTTTTGGTGACTGACCCTGAATGGCTCCTTGGTTTATTTTACACACACACACAAAATATATATTCCAGGAAATGAAATTGTAGAAGTAATATCTGGAGCACCAATGAAGATGAAAAGCCAGTTTGAGTTATATACACAGGTAGTTTTTACAACCATAACTGGGACCAGAATTTGCATTGCTAAGCAAATTGTTAAATGAGTTGCATCTGATTTTACACCCTTTTTTTTGCCATGGTTGTTAAGCGAATCGCATAGTCATTGAGCAAATCCAACTTCCCCCTTTGACTTTTCATGTCAGGAGCTAGCTGGGAAAGTTGCAAATGGTGATTACATGACCCTAGGATGCTGTAACCATTGTAAATATAGGACAGTTGCCAAGCACCCAAATTTTGAACACATAACCATGGGGATACTAATGACAATCATAACTGCAAGGAATGATTCTGTTGCTTTTTTTTCCCAGTGCTGTTGTAACTTTGAACAGTTGCTAAACAATTGGTTCCTCTTGGTGGAACATCAGGCCACTCTCCAATAGCCTTGTTTATCTGCCAAACTACTGTGAACAATTTGTACTGCACTTTACCAATAAAGTCAATCAGATTTTAATTGTTCATGAGCAATTAATTCTATGTGGCAACTGGAACAAAGTCTGACAGTGTCATCTGTGCCCCCTTTTTAGCCTTCTGCCCCATAGGCTCAATCCATGCGCTCTAGGAGGGCACGGAGGACATGGGTCATCTGAAAGTTAGCATCACCTTTGAGAGAAGGGTTTGTTCGTAGCCTTCAGATGAACAGTGCCACAACATTTCCTAAAGAGGACTTCCTTGAATCTGGTTAATTTCAGCAATTTTCTCTAGAAAGGGAATATTGGAGATTCTGCAATAGTTATCCAGTTAATTTTGATAACTACTGCAATTTCAATTTTTCCCTTTCTGGAAAGTGGTTGAAATGGTATTGGGGGTATCTGTGACAGCAACCTAGAAAACTGCGTAATATTTGAACCCTTTTACTCAAACATGAAATGGAAACGGCACTGGTCACTCCAATAGATGATCTTGGTTGGAACTGAATAAGAGAAATATGCCTTTCTTGATCATTCTAGACCTCTCAGTCTGTCAAACATGGTATGTTTCAAAACTGCCTCAAGGGATGGGGATTGGAAGCACTTGTTTGAAATTTATTTTACAAAATTTATTACCTATTCCAATTCTAATGAACTCTGGGCAGAGTACAACAAAATCAAGTGCAACAGACAGAAACAAAAGTAAATGTTTAATATAAACAATTAAAGTTAATGACCTGTCAACAGTCATTAGAGGAGGCGGCAGCACCCCCACCCCCTGAGTTTTCTGGACTCGCTAGCCTCTACACTGCAACACTGCAAATATTCTTCCAGCCCTTCCTTGAAAGTCCAAAATACCTCTAAATGGCAGAACAGCAAGTACATAGTAGGTTCCTCTCTTGGGAGAAGACAGAGAATAAATAACTTCTTAGGAATGAAAGAGAACTCATTGGAATGATTGTGAGGACGGACATTTCTAACTTTCTCAAAAAAAAAAAAACCCAAAAAAACACTAGAGTTTAGATCACTGGAGGTGATCTATTCAAGCAAGGATAGGGGTTGTAGAACGTAACAACATCCTTAACAAATGGCTATCTATGCGTCTATGTAGATTCTCAGTCATCCAGGTCATGGTTGGAAAGTCCGGTTGCCTCTTTGAAAGAAAAAAGCACCTTTGAGACAAATAGAACCTTGGTGGTGCAGCGGACTAAATTGCTGTTAATTAGCACTTAGCTGCCAGCTGCCTGCAATTACTGCGAGTTCAAATCTCACCAGGCTCAAGGTTGACTCAGCCTTCCATCTTTCCGAGGTAGATAAAATGAGGACCCGGATTGTGGGGGCAATAAGCTGACTTTGTATAAAAAAGAACACCGCTTAGGGGGGGCCAAAAGCCCTACTAAGCAGGTATATACAAAAGTATGAAGGCTATTGTTTAACGCATTGTAAGCCGCCCTGAGTCTCCAGAGAAGGGCGGCATATAAATCAAACCAATAAATAAATAAATAAATGGCTATCTAATTTATATAGCACATACCAATCTTTAGGCAGAGGATTCTATAACATACAGTTCTCATCATCTGGGGATTTGACTTAAATATTTAGCTTGAAAATAGTTTCCCTGCAACTGCCAACTCTCCACTTTAGCTCCTCTTCTCTGGAGAGAAAAAGTCAGTGCCATCAAGTCATATTGACCACCCCAACTGGGCATGCTGCAGATATTTGGGATTACAAATTGCATGCTGTTCTCCAAGCAGCCCAACATATTTCTGGATGAGAACCCTTATTTGATGGGCAAAATTCATCCAGCAGTTTTAACAGTTCTTCAGAGACCTTGATTTCCAGACATCAGTTATCAACCTGGATGTCTTTGTTTAAGCATACTACTAGTAGTACTCAGCATCCCTCTTTAAAAAATTGCAGCTAGGACACAATATTCTCGTGACCTGTAATAGAAAGATTTTAACAAGAATGAAGCAGAAATGCACGTAGTGTACATTTCAGTGTATATTTGCTTAATTTTATGCCCTTAAGTATATAAACCAAAACATCTCATGTGAACTACTCCAAATTTTGATCTGTGGTTCATCAGCAATAAAAATCAAAGAATACATGCATTAATATGATGTTCAAATACATGTTATTGTATTTTTGAACATTATTGTAAAAACAAGAACAACGTGCATGTATATTAAAAGGTTTGGTAACATCTTTTAAGATTAAAAAACCATTCTAATGAATTATAAGGACTTACAATAAAATCTGTCAG